ACCCCTGCTGTCCTCTTTCACTCCCACCCTGCTGTGCTGTCATCAACACAACTAGAAGCTGATGTTTCACAGTACCATCCTCCTTCCCACAGCCTAAGTAGAGCTTCACTCCAAGCCAGAATCCACCATTTTGTCAGGTCCCCTGTCCACTAGTGTAGCAGCCATTTCTCAGGCACTGCGGTGCATTGCACACAGGTTAATGCAGGGCAGAGTGCATGCTGTTGTCAACTTTGTATGAGTGTTATGGTGATAATCGTGAATTTGAGGATTTTCACGTGCATACATTTTTTTTTCTTTTAAATAATCCACGTGAGTGAGATTAGATTTAGAATGAATGTAGTTTGCCCCCGGGTGGAGATGCCGGCAGCTTAATCCAGCTGTAACACGAATCCCCCACATGATCTGGGCCAGACTTGTTCAGGTGAACCCGATGCCATGACGAACACTATACATGCACATGTTTAACTCATCCCTCCCCTGTCACGGCACGGCGGCTGCCGCAGTGCGCTTTACTGTGCAAAAGCTGATAAAACAGCGGAGAGTGACTTAACACATCTATAGCGGCAGATCTGTTGTTTTAAGGATTTAACCGAAATGTCAGCCGTCCGCCATGTTCTATCGTCTGCCCGCTTACCGCCGCCTAGATTCGTATCACCTACAAGCCCCCACTGTATCACAACATCCCCAACACTGCGCCTGGAGACCCGCCGCTAAAGTAAACGTTCACTTCATTCTTCTGACAGCATCCAATACAAAACCTCCTCAATCCGTTACTTGATGTACGGTGTCGTACCTGCGAAGTGGCCGGTGTCAGGTTGACTGCAGGACCGGAGAGGCTGAGGGGGACGCTGCTGATCCGGTTATAGCGCACAGGACAGGCGGGGGTATTGCGTAATTGCGCGCACACGCTGCTGCACAGCATCACAACAAGGGACCAGGGGCAGTTACCGTAAATGAGTTTATCATAAGACCCAGCAACCGGCGAAGCATCTTTGTCAGAGATACAGTGATCTAATTGTGTAATTCTGCATGAGGACTTTTACTTTTGGTACGTTAAAGTCAATTCTGTGCTGCTACTTAAGGAACATTTTGAATGCAGACTTGTAAGAGTATTTCTACAGGGTGATTTTGCTACTTTAAGTAAAGCATCAGAACTTTTCCAAAATTGGTTATTACGTTTAGTTCTGTGCCCTTTCAAGCTCTCCTGTCAGTACTGAACTGGGGCCTTATGGGGACATAGACGAACCATTTTGACTTGTTATGGCTCTGTGTGACTTGGCACACGTTAATTTATGTAGATTATATAAACAGATCTATACACCTGTCATTAAGACGTTTTTGTTGGCTGTTGTTTCTGCATTAGTTGGATTTGTAGAACAGAGTCCAGGAGGAATAAAATTGATACAAGCTGCAGAATTATATTGGATAATCGATGTGGGTCATTATAGATGTATTGGTTTCATTCTGTTTCAGATGTAGAGATGGTTAATGTCTTACAGTCAGGTGGTCAACCTTTTCTAATCCTATGATAATTAAATGTCTAAAGCTAAAGGCTTTTAGCAAAAGGTGAGACATTTCAACACATGACCAAATGCTGTCAGTAACTGCTGTATTTTGGTTTGTGGATAAGACTGGGTAGAACTGGATCACTGGGTGGGCTGCAGATGAGATTAATAGCATCAGGATGAAGAGTGAAACCAGAGTAAAAGTTGTCATTTCTTTGTTCATCCAGGGAATGCGACCAACTATTCTCTTATTATTTATGGTCTTATCACTGACCTTTTCCCAGCACTAAACTCTTACAAACCATATTTGTTATTGTGAAGCACTTTGGGTCACTTTATTAAAGTGTAATTTGCATAGTTCAGTTCATTTCAAGTGTTTGTAATATTACATATGTAGAGAAATAAATAGGTTTGAGATGATCGAAATGTTTCTTCTCTTGCACTTTCTCCATCAGATACTCAGAGGTAATTAAATTGCAATAATAAAAAGCACATCATTCCTTTAGTTAGTCAAAAAACTGTTTAATGAAATAACCCAAGGCAATATCAGATTTGATCAACAGATGTTATTTCTAATACATGAAGCGGTTTAAGATATTGTTACCAGATGCAATGATTACGTGTGTGTGTGTGTGTGTGTGTGGTAGTCACACAAAAGCCCCTTTATGCCTGACTGTAGATGCAAACCTGAAATAATAAAAAGAACTCATCTGACAGTGTTTAATGTAATAAGGCACAAGCATATTACATCTTAAATTGGGATGATGCTACTTGTTGACAGAAGCTGCAACCAAGACAAAATGTTTACCTTGTGGCTTAGGTTTGATTTAGTTCTTTAGAGGCATTATGTTTAAAAAAACCAGTGCCTATACATGTGGCTTTAAAGTGCAAACCTGATGGAAAAATTGCACATAATCAGCTTTTTGCATTGATAGAGTACCAAGACTTGAGTTTTAAAATTGGACCTAATTAAGTTGACAGTTAAAAACCAAGGACATGCAGTACATGTATGTGGTAGAGCGATCAAACATCCTTTTCAGTCCCTGTATGATAAGATCCCTGAGAACTGATAGTGTGAATCCCGTGAATAGAATAAGGCTGTGTCCACCATGAACCTCTTAAACACGGTTTCCTTTCATTACAAAAGTACCAACATCTGGCTTCTTCTTAGTGTTATAGATCAAAAAGTAATTCATTAAGTGCTACTACCTCTATTAAGAGGTGCCTGGTGGACACAACACATGAAATCCCTTAATTGCACCATATTACAAGTAAATATAAAAACTGTCCATTTACAATCACATGAAAGACAAAGCACTTTAAAATAATTTTAAGGAGCTTCACTGTAAGGCATTTTCCCAAACAAGTGTTTGTGCGTGCTGTGCAGTTATAATGTTTCAGAAAGTGTGCCAGGGTAGCACATCTGATGTTATCTTAAACCTTTCCTTACACTTTTACAAGTGACAGAAAGCATCCTTCTGAAAAGTAAATCAAAGGTTACAGGATGCTCTTGAGGCAGAAATAAGAGCTGAGCGTAGCAAGTTGGCAAACCTGGACACTAAACAGGAACTTAACTGGAATCATTTGAAGTTCCTAGTTTATTTACCAAGGTATTCATAGTAGCTGATGGTCAACAAGGCTTTGATAACCTATAGCTATGATACTTTTCGTAGATGCATATTGTCAGTGTTTCCCACAGCATTAGATTCTACGTGGGGCAGAAGCTATCTCTTCCTGGGAATATTCAAAAATTCCCAGCTTTTCTTAACGTTAACTATGGTCTAGAACAAGGCTGCACAATAGATCGTTTTGTGAGCGTGATTTAGATCCCTGTGTAATCTCAGCCTCACATGACAATGTCTCTGCCGTGTTTGCATTAGGAGGGAGATGGCTTGCATCAAACCAAGCGCTCCCTTTCCCTTGCTATATTTGAATATTCCTCTGGATGGAGGGAACAAAAATTCAGCATTATAGTTTAAGAATCTGGATTAACATTGTCCACTTGCAGAGCAACAGCAGCTATAATATACAGCACTCTAACAAAAAAAAACTAAAATCAAGAGCAAGGGGAAATTGTCTGCTAGCTGATTGTAGGCACAGTTCTCTTGGACAGATAAAGTTGTAATAATAAACATGAAATATCTGTGGGAGGCTCAAGTAAAGTGCATGGGAAACACTGTGTGGTTTTTGCCTCAAAAGCATCTGAGAAATAGCTGCTGTGACTGCAGGTTAATCTGCTTACAGACTAAAGAATATGGCTCTTACTCACTGTTAGCTGTGCTCTGAGAGCTACAACACAGCTGAAAATACCCGCTGACTCACTGAGACTTGTCCTTCTGATGATTCAGATGAGTCTGCTACTCATGTCCTGCCTCAGTCTCCATGGGAGTAGGATGCGTGGATAGCCCAGGGCTGCACTGTTCCTTGGCCAAGCACAGTGTAGAACAATGCTCCAAGCAGGTTGATGGTAGCAGCAATGTAGAAGACAATCTGCCATTCTTCTATGGTGTTCTGAAGGACAGTCAGTTAATTAGTACTTAAATTTAAGAAGGTGTCAGTGTGTCACTAATAATTTACTGCCACACTTAGTTTATCTAATTGAGACTGTGTTATAGAGTAGTACTGATGCCCCCTGGTGACCAAATGTTAACTTACTGATCTGGTGCTAATTAAACCAATCAGACAGAACATGAGGCATCGAGACAAAGGAAAGACACCATCTATGTAGGCAGTGTCCCTGGGGGTCAGGACACAGTTATGCATCGCTTATACTCATTGCTTGTGATTGCCACTCCATGCTCTTGCACACGTGCCAGCAGATGGCCTCTGTCACAGGCTGCTGTTTATTTGTTGGTATGTGTATGAATGCTGTCCTGTACAGGGACAAAACTGCCAGTGTGCATCTGTTTACAGCAGTGAAATTGGAAACATGGGAGGACATTATTTTTTAAATCAACCCATATACCATGCATGATCCTTTGTCAGGAAAAATACTGTGATACATTTTAAAAAGCTTCTCTAGTTAACTACATTCAGTGTGAACTTGCTAGGAGCAGCTTTACTTTAAGCTGCAGACGCACCATAAATTATTATTCCTGGTTGTTACTGGAGGGCAGCATGTAACTGGATGTGTTGAAGTCAACTTTGAGAAGGTTGTATGCTGCCCTCCAGTAATATTTAATGGTGTCTCTGCAGTGCAAAATAAAGAGACTCCCAGCCATGCTCACACTAGGTGTAGCTAATGAGAGCAGCACTTTATTTTTTAATATTGCCAGCTGGTGATATAAAACCATATTAGAACAGGTATAAAACACTGAACAGTGAGGAAGGGGAGACTAATCACGATCTGTGGTTAATTACAATCTGCGTGTACATTTGTTTACCTGTACAGTGAGGGCTCTCCCTATAACTGGTCCCACCATGCCAGGAATGGTGGCAAAGGTGTTGGTGATTCCCAACAGAATGCCAGCATACCTATAAAGAGAATACATAGTCAAATAACAGGTTTTTATTGCTATTAAACTCACCCAATATTACAATGTATTTGTACATGTAACATAGCAGGTTTAAAATGTTTGAAATGTGAAAGCTTATTCCACAAGAAGTTATTGTAGTCATAGAAAAGTCGTTCTTACGAGGGAGCAATGTCAAGGTGGTTGATGTTGAATCCAGAGGCTGACACTCCACCCAGAGAGGAGGAAATAGTGAGGAAGGTCACAGCCAAGGTGTAGTTACAGCCTGTGTATCCTGCTGCCACCAGGAAGACCGCTGGCCCAAACATACCTATAGAACAGTAACAGGCACGTTGCACTGGGTGTCCCACCTCAAGTTCACAAACCAAGATAACAGAATGATACTGCCCTTCCTTACCAACAATGGTGAAGGCCTTCCTGACAGTGACTGTGGGGTAGTTGCAGGTTTCCCGGAGGTAATCGGCAACTTGGCCACTCAGCACAGCAATCACAGCACAGCCCAGGTAAGGCAGAGCCGACAGCATACCGTTCTGTTGACGAGAGACACACGGCAGCACACGACGTGCAGACTATAAGAACTATAATAGTCCTCAGCAGCTCCTGCAGTGCAGACACACAGTAAAATGGGTAGCAGGGCCTTCAGACAGAACGCAGTGGGCGCTGCACTTTGCTATCGAACCCATTCATTTCTATGTGTTGCATAGCACAAGGTTGCGCGTGCCATCTGTGCGCTGTGCTGAAGTTGAGGAAAAAAGTTCAACTTGGGCCCAGTGCTCCGTGATGACCCCTCGATGCGTCCAATTGCAGAGAACCCGACGGAGAAAATGGAGAAGCTTATTTCGGTGGTCCCACACCCTCTTCTACTTGGCTGCAGCTCATCTCCTCATCAGTACAACTAAAGCCAGAGGTTTTTACTGACATGTAGTATAGATACTGTATATTGTGCATCCAAGGCCACTGCTCGAAACACTAGTTAATATCAGCTAGCCGCCTCCTGGAAAGCTTTTTGGTCACCTAGCAACTGCCACACAACCCTTGTGGCGAGCGTAGCGAATGCCACATCCTATCTGAAAGCCCCTTACCACCTCCAGCAGTTCAAAGAACTATGAACAAGTTCCCCTGGTCTAAAAGTGCCTAAAGATGCAGGAGGCCTGAGTGTGGAATAGAGCAGATTTGATCACACTGACCCCTTATCTGATTCTCCCTGTTAGTGTCTGTTAACCATTGTATTCATGAATTAATGCCTGTATGTGATGTTGACCATACCTTCTGTATGCTGAATCCCAGTATGTCGTTCATGTATGTTGGCAGCAGGGTGAGGAGGGTGTAGAAGGTCCAGTTGTAGGAGAAGTGTGCCACAACGATGGCCCACAGCGGTCTGGATGTTACAATGGCACGCCAGGGGATGTAACCTGCAGAGGTAGATAGCTGGGCCACACAGGAAAGAGAAAACAGGGAGCTCTTGATTAATACATCCACTCTTAAAGACAAACATGTGCAACAACCACCTAAATATTAATTATGGTCTTGATAAACAAATAGGAAGGGGCAAGACAAAACATCTAGTTAACTTTACTTATGTGGCAGTACACTGAATTTACACTGATAAATCCATTCATACAGACATGTTTTAACTCCCTCTGCTGAATAAACTGAATTAGGCCTCACAGAAGAGAAGAGGATGCCGCTGCTATCATCCACCACTCCTCTATGGCAAAAACTGTGCCTGCCCCTAGTGGCAAGAAAAATGTCAACTTGTTTTCCTTCTTAATGTTGTGTTCTTGGTTTCTGATTTAAAAAAAAACACCATACTGTCATGAATGACATACTAATTTCCACACAGAGGTCCTACATGCTGATAAAGCCTTAAGCATTGTCATTTAAAATCAGAGGGCAGACAGAGACACCAGTTCCCAGTAGAACCGATCAACCCTTTATTAACTATCGCTGTTACAAAATGCACAGAATTTGAAAGAAACTGTGCATCTGAGTATCGTTATCATCATCAGCTGCAGACTCATGGTGAGTGTTGTGACCTAACAGCAGGGGAAGACAGATAAGAGAATAAAATGCCGCAATATACGGAAATTATGTAACATGAGTATCAGATAACACCAATGGGGCAGAAATGCCTGCAAGTGCTCTGCTGAGGCTGCACCAGGGTGAAGGACAGCACATCATATGACAAAGCTGAAGTTAGGTCTCATCTACCATGATACATTAATAATTGCCTTTACAATGCATGTCAGATTTAAACGTTCTCCTTTTGTCTCTTCTGTAAACTTTATATTATTTCTTACATTTTAAATGTGGGACCCAATAAAAAAATGAAAATAAGGAAAAATCAAAATAAGTTAAACAATTTTGTTTGTAATAACATTTCTGTAATATCCGATACAAAAACCTATTTGTTTCATTTTTTGAGAAATTGCTGATTCAAGTATAAACAAGCTGCACTAAAGCTTTTTTTAAAATTCTAATTATGGCTTTTTTTCTAGGAAAACATTAAGACAATAGACAAGTCTTATGTTGACCAGAGATAGAAGATGAATCAGAAAAAAAGCCATTTTTATAAACTTTTTTTTGCAAGTTTAGGACATTGTTTGGTTTCTGGTGTTACCTCGTTCTTCAGTGAGGAGGTGATGTAGTTTCTCTCCCGCTCTGATATCCGTGGGTGAGTGTTTGGACTGTCAAAGACGAGGAAGGCCCACAAGACGAACCACACCAAGCCAACTGCACCTGGAAGCACGAAAGCAAACAAGCACTCATTATACCAGAGATCAACTTGGGTGGATGTGCATTTTTTCCTGTATTAATCCCCCATCACACAAATGACTGTACATAGTCGGTGGGGTGTTTTTAGATACATATATCTACTGCCACAATGTGTATTGGTGGTCTGGTTGTGAACTGAACTAAGGTCTGATCAACTCATTACCTCTACTTTACCCACATCAACTGAGAACTATGTGTTTATTGAAACTACAGTCCCAACATCTGTCAAGTAAAGGAGGAAGGAAGAAAGTGGTATTTCTCTATTGATTCCATTTGTAAGCACATTTTCTTCAATTTGTTAAATCATTGTTTCCACTGACTAAAGGGGAACGAAGGATCAGATACTGGAAGAAGCTCATGTGACACAAGAAACCACTGTGGTGAATAAGCATTAAAGGGAAAAAAGTCTGACCAATCAATAGAGAAGTCAGAAATATGCAAACGCTTCTGACATATGTGTGTACGTCTCCTTGATCAGACCAGATGAGAAACAAACTGCAAGGTGAGTTCAAAAGAATTGTCTTTTCCACTTTTGCTCTGATGTCAAGTTTCCATAACACATCGACGATGGCACCTTCACTGCCTAAAATGGTTCTAGCTACCAGTTTTCTAACAAGTGCATTAATTAACCATAAGTTTAAAAATCTAGTTAGAAATTCCTGCCTGGCAAATCATAAGCATGTCCCTCATATTATTGATGCTTTTCACTACTGACACCGCAGGAATATTACCGAATACATAGAAGACATAAGTCCAGTCCAGGTAGAAGCAGATTTCACCAGAGAGAGGAAGAGCTATCACTGTCCCCAGCTGGGCTCCTGGGAGAAACGGAAGGGAAAACACAAACATCTGTATCCCACAGCTGTCTGAATGCACAGAGTGCAACTACTGAATGATGAATATACAAAGAGCGGCATGACAACACCAGCAACTGAAGATGACAAGGATGCAAGGGTCTGCTATGTAAATATACACTGTTAAAGTGAAGACATTTTACTGTTGGTTAATATGATTTTAAAGGAAATTTTGTAAAACATCCATCACAAATTTCTTTCAAACAATTCAAATGCAGCAAATCCTCACGTTCCATTAGCTAGTAATGATGAATATGTAGCATTTTTGCTTAATAACTTGATTTACTTGACCAATCACAATTGTTCTGTTCTATTCTGATTAAGCAATTGTTTCAAAGCAACTAAAATGCAAAAATATTCTGACACATGACCCAAAAAGATACTGTTTTCTTGGAACAGAAACACTTTTTTTTTTTTTACTTTATCTACATTGCAGCTCTTGTTTCTCTGCAACTTACCAATGTAGGAAATTGTGAGCAGCCGGCTCCTCTCCAGAGGCGGGGCCCACGCCGCCCACATGGTGTACATTGCAGGGAATGTGACCCCCTGAAGAAAAACATAACAGGGGTACACAGATGAAACCCAGGTACAGCCAATAATCCACGCATCTATCTTCTGTCTGATTCTGCAGCTCCATTTAGATTTTATTATTAACACTCACTTGGGTGCTCAAAGATACTGTACATTGTGGTAGCTACTTTAGTCACATAAAGAAAAGTGCAAATGATGCTAATGCTACGAACACAATGCATGTGCAAACAATTTAAACCTTCCCTACCTCCCCTATCCCCTCCAACACCCTGAGAGCAATGAGCCAGCCGGCACCCAGGTCAGCAGCCACAGGGGTGAGCAGCGTAAACACTACAGTTCCCAGGATTCCTAAGCCCAACAGCCACTTGGGTCCAAAGCGGCTGGCCAGATAGCCCCCTGGGATTTGTGTCAGGATGTAGCCATAGAAAAAGGCACCCAGGATCCAGCCCTGGGTCTCAGAGTCCCAGTTGTACACTCTGGCCTGTGAGGGGAGGTGTTGAGAGCTATATCAGCATTTGAGCAGCATCAAATATTATTAAACTTTACTGAATAAATACTTCTAGCTAGACAACACTCTGTGCCAAGGCAGCTCACAGTCCCCATAATGCCATTACACCTAAAAGCAATAGTCCCATCGTAGCGTGACCCTCATAATATGATTTGTTGACCATGAGTACATGCCCCTAGTATTATGAAGCACATTAGGTTTAAAGTTATTCAAGAAAAACAATATTTACTAACAGATGAACTTTTAAAGTTACATCAAATCTGTTGCCACCCTATTGAGTCAGCAGAGTCTCAGCTACAATTGATCTTAGCTGTAAGTCTATAGCATTATTTATTGTCTTACTGAAGTGAATTTTACCCTCACCCTAGCCCTATAAATGTGAACATTCTGGATCACCATATCTGGAATATTACTCATATCTAGATCCATACTTTGGTGTGCGGTAGATCTTGTGCGGATGTTACAGAGCAATTTTGTAGTGTTTTCCAAACGAGCATTCTGAGGCTTGTCAATGAAGGCTTTCTCAAATTCCACTGTCATTGTTACTTGGCAAAATGGAAGAAAATCCCCTAGGTTGGACAACATGCATGAAACATCTTACTGTGTTGTTGTGACTGGGCCGTGCAGGGCTTTCACCAGCTGGACACACCGAGCTGCTGTGGTTGATGCTGGACTGGTGGCTGCTGTTAAGCATGTCCACCATGGCCACACTGAGGTTCACCCGCAAGGAGTAGACCACAAAAAATCCATAGGAAGAGAGCAGCGCCAGGCCATAGCGGGATGAACAGCATGCCGGGGCTACACAGTGACGGACAGAGAGGAGATGTTATTGCATGTGTGCTTTATCTCACAATATGAAAAATGTACCAAGTTATTTTATGAGGTGTGTGTGTGTGTGTGTGTGTGTGTGTGTGTTGTGACACAAGACAACAAATCCAGCCATGCAGAGTACAGTTATCTCTTCTGTTTTTTGTCTTTCCTCTATAGCTTGGTGACAGAACAGACAAAATGGATCCTTTGGGAAACAAAGTCTGTTTTGCGCCTGCATTTTTTGTGTGTTTACTCACAGAATATAAACCAGAGCGCAGATTTGCATCAATTAGTCAACATCTACATGATGATAAACTAATTATCTAGACACAGTTAGGCATTTCAAGATGTCACCATGGAGTGTGGGAAATTACAAGTAATTTCCAACAAAAGAAAAAAAAAGTAACCAGAAGGTTAACCGATAAGGAAAATAGTTATTTGTAGCCCAAACTGAGTGAAACTTATTTTAAACCGCACACGATAAATATTAACTTTTAATATCACTCTGAGCTCAGAAAACTGTGAAAGGAATTTTTCAGTCTGACATTTTATAAACCAAACAATTAGTCAGTAAAACAATCAACTGACTAATTACAAAGGTAACTGTTAGTTGCAGCCCTAAGATCAACATGATCACTAGCTAAAATGACTTTCACAGATGATACCATTTTCATTTAACTGCATGAGTAGTCATACTTGTGCCTCTTTTTCTTGTCTCGTACAGTTTATTTCTTTAACTAAACCTAAGTGGCTGATAAGTCTGTGTAAGTATATCCCCAGAGGTGTACTGTCATAAGTCTCTGGGTTTTGCATAATGTGCAACTACTTGCTGATATGATTCATTATGCAAACCGATGATGCTACTAAAACTATAAAACATCACACGACTCATAGCTCAGGTGTGCCTGTCTTATGATGTGAGCTCAGGGGAGATGTCTCTGAACTCGTGACTCAGGCTAGTTAAACTGTCAGCATGTACAAACCCACAGGATGAATTCAGCCCTACAGATTTGCCCTGGATGACAGAAACAAACACCCTGTAAGAAAGGTTGTATCGTGTTCTCGCCATGTGAACAAATGGTTGCATAAATCATGTTAGCAGTCATGTTGCTTTCATGCTTTTCCCCAGTGAAATCGCAAAAAACAGCTCAGCTAGCCACATGCCCCGACAGTGTTGGCTAACTAATTAGGTGGAGATGTTTTTCTTTTACCTCTCTGCACTCTGTCTTCGTGTCCCCGGTGTAGTAGCGGCGTCTCTTGCTCGTCCCCTTCCGTGTCCGAACCGTACCGCTCCATTTGTCAGTCAAAGGTTAACAGGTGGAGTATACTGCATGACAAACTAAATGCCAACAAGACAACCGCAGCAGCAGAATAAGCCAATTTAACTGCACAGAGCTCAATCAGAGAACGTACACGGGCTCTGCGATGACACAAGCTAACAGCAATCACGTGACGAGTAGCAGCAGACCAGAACTGCAGTTGTTTCTTCTTCTTCTTCTAAAAAAAAAAATCTTCTTCTTTTGGTAGTTGGCAGAAAACTTAATATGTGCATTACTACCACCTACTGGACAGATATATTTTTGTTCATAATATTGCTGCAGATACGATCCGTAACACCGACAGTGATAATTCATATATCTTTCTCCCAGAGACTCCTGTCCTCGTGCTGTCACAGACAGCAGCATGAACATAATGTCCCACCATCTAGGCCACCGTAGTAACGGGACATAAAGAGACATCTGAAATAAAAACAGACTATTGAAAAATAGCACTTTGAAATAATAATTTCCATAATCACAATAAAAATAACCCCCCAAAAACTCTATTGAGTAAGAATGATGAAATACCATTTCAAACTAATGACTTAAGTTTTAATATTTTTTGAATGATTTCACAAATTGTCTGTGCAAGTATATATTTTACTCAATTTATTCATTTGATTATTCATTTTAATGTTGTTTTTATTTATTACTGAACACTCTGGGTTTCCATAAAAAGCTGAACTGTTCTCACCTGTACACCAACACCAAGTGTTTATGTACTTCCATATTGATACAAACCCTTGCTATGAGCTGCCCATAATGGCTATACAGTGGTGTGAAAAAGTGTTTGCCCCCTTACTGATTTCTTATCTTTTTGCATGTTTGTCACACTGTAATGTTTCAGATTGTCAAACAAATTTATATATTAGTCAAAGATAACACAAGTAAACACATCATGCAGTTTTTAAATGAAGGTTTTTATTATTAAGGGAAAACAAAATCCAAAACTATATAGCCCTGTGTGAACAAGTGTTGGCCCCCTAAACCTAATAACTGGTTGGGCCACCCTTAGCAGCAACAACTGCAATCAAGCATTTTCGATAACTTGCCATGAGTCTTTTACAGCGCTGTGGAGGAATTTTGGCCCACTCATCTTGGCAGAATGGTTGTAAGTCAGCCACATTGGAGGGATTTCGGGCATGAACTGCCTTTTTAAGGTCATGCCACAGCATCTCAATTGGATTCAGGTCAGGACTTTGACTAGGCCACTCCAAAGTCTTCATGTTGTTTTTCTTCAGCCATTCAGAAGTGGACTTGCTGGTGTGCTTTGGATCATTGTCCTGCTGCAGAACCCAAGTTCGCTTCAGCTTGAGGGCACAAACGGATGGCCGGACATTCTCCTTCAGGATATTTTGGTACACAGCAGAATTCATGGTTCCATTTATCACAGCAAGCCTTCCAGGGCCTGAAGCAGCAAAACAGCCCCAGACCATCACACTACCACCACCATATTTTACTGTTGGTATGATGTTCTTTTTCTGAAATGCGGTGTTACTTTTACGCCACACAGAATGGGACACACACCTTCCAAAAAGTTCAACTTTTGTCTCGTCTGTCCACAGAGTATTATCCCAAAAGTCTTGGGGATCATCAAGATGTTTTCTGGCAAAACTGAGACGAGCCTTTATGTTCTTTTTGCTCAGCAGTGGTTTTCGTCTTGGAACTCTGCCATGCAAACCATTTTTGCCCAGTCTCTTTCTTATGGTGGAGTCATGAACACTCACCTTAACTGAGGCAAGTGAGGCCTGCAGTTCTTTGGATGTTGTTGTGGGGTCTTTTGTGACCTCTTGGATGAGTTGTCGCTGCGCTCTTGGGGTAATTTTGGTCGGCCGGCCACTCCTGGGAAGGTTCTCCACTGTTCCATGTTTTCGCCATTTGTGGATAATGGCTCTCACTGTGGTTCGCTGCAGTCCCAAAGCTTTAGAAATGGCTTTATAACCTTTTCCAAACTGATAGAGCTCAATTATTCTCTTTCTCATTTGGTTTTGAATTTCTTTGGATCTCGGCATGATGTCTAGCTTTTGAGGATCTTTTGGTCTACTTCACTTTGTCAGGCAGGTCCTATTTAAGTGATTTCTTGATTGCGAACAGGTGTGGCAAGCAGCTGAACCACACAGGTTGGTTTATAACAACCCCAACTAAATGTTCATGATCTGCTCTTCTTTTAATTTTTTCTAAACTTTATTTGGCATGATGGCTGGGGAGTTAGGAGTCAGTGTTCTTCTGATGCAGAAGGTCTACTAGTAGAAACAGGGTATCTATACCCTCCTTCTGTGTCCACATCTGACAGCTCTAAAGGTTGCTACCATGTACCTGACCCTGACTTCTGATCTCCCTTTGATGGAGAAAAAGTAAAAAGTTAAAAAAGGAAAGGAATGACAAATGACTGATGTTTGAGAAATTGTAATCAAACCTACTGTTCTTCAAGTGCTATGGGTGCTTGATGTACTGGCGAGTCCACTTGTCACCTATATAGCATCACTTACCTGATGCAGTGACTTGCTTTTCAGTTCAGTCTAATCAGTGCTGCTGTGTAAATCACCCTGATTAACAGTCAGTCATGCCTCTTTACATCTAGGGAGTCAGCTAGAGTATGATAAACAAATGACTCCCTCTCTCCTCCCGATCTTTCCCGTCTGTCCCTCTACTCTCTAAAGACAATGGCGTTTTTGTGCATAAGGGAAATCATAGGACTCACATGCTTTCAAAGAGAGAAAGAGAGTGATTACAGCAAAAGACAGGCTTGTTCAGCGTAAAAGCACAAGGCAGCAGAGTGGACTGAAATTGTCTTGAGTGGAATAAGGACTTTAGGACTGGACAGCTGTGAACTAAATTGGACCAGACAGAACCAAAACATGGAAAATGAGAAAACAGAAGAGAAGATGGAAGGCGTATCAGAAGGTAAAACAAGTGTCAAAAATCTTGAGCTGTATCTTTTGAACAGATGCTCTCAGTTACTGGAAGCAATTAGTTAGAATCGCAGCGGTTGGTCATGATCACTACTGATTAGTTTCTTATTCCTTCCACACACTAGTGTTTAATGTTTTTATTTAATGTTACATTAACAGCTGTAATGCTGAGGATCATCATGTCTTAATATCATGTCCTCCTAATGCACCAGTCAGAGAACTGAATCCACTTGCTTTTATAAGGATAATAATGTTTGAAGTTTGAGGTAACTACAAGACAGCAACTTCAGGTGACATCTTGACGCCAGCGTTTTCTGGCCTGGAACAACTGAGGTCAAAAGCACAAACCTAAGTTGCAAGAAGAAATGTGTTGTACTGTTATGTCCTGCACAGAAAGACCATTGTTCCACACTGTATATTCCCTATTTTCCTCTTTCACTGTTAAGAAAGGTTGTGCAGTACAGACATGGCACATTGTGCCTCGTCAGTTATGCATCATTATGCATGCTCTGTACAAATTTCAGATGACTCTCTGCAAAGCTGACAGCAGCATTGACCTATGACATCTGGACAACAAACAGTACCACTGTGCTTTTATGCAGCCAGTTAACTGCCTCTAAATGCAGCACATTACAAAAATCCATCAATAATCTGAATTTCCCTGTGTAGCACTTTCCTCCAACAGTCCAACCATTTTGCAAACATGAACAACAGTCCCTCAGTACTCTCCAGCAGCTAGAAGACAAGAAAATATGGTTCCAATGGGATCTGCTCAGTTTACAGTGAACAGGAGGAGGCTTCCAGTTACCACAAGTTATAAGAAAACTGACAAATTGGAATGAAAGGATAAAAAAGTGTTTGTTCTTTGGATGAATCTCTCTTCTGAGGAGGACTGGCATGTGTAACACTGTCACATGACCGCTGAAGCACTCCTACACCTCTTTGTCCTGACCTTGACTTCTGTGGCATTAAACGCTTTTTATTACACAAATGTTTTTACCTCTAATACATCACACATGCACACATATCTTCCAGACACCTATTAGTAAAACCATAAATATACCATAGTGTATTTCAAGGATAGCTACTACATAATACTGCTTGCCAATAATTTAAATGCGGACATAAAAAATAGTAATAGAATTGACAAGTTTAAACATAAATATAAATATGTGTCAATCAAGATATATGCAAGAACAGGCTTAATGATTAACCAGATGGAACATTGTGGGTGTGGTGTATGAATGTTAACACTTTGTAATAATTCTTTAGTATATTACTTGTGTGGTGTAGAAGAGAATTATTTACTGCTTGCAAACCAATGATGGTAAGATGATGTCATGGGGTAGGACTGGATAAGTCTGACTTCTTCCTACGCCATTCAAGCATGTACTAGGTATAAGCACATTGATATTGGATTAGCATTTGTTGGATATGTGTAAAATTATGTGTGTTGACATATCAACTGTCTTTACATGCTTGAAAGAATAAATCAAATCAAATCAAAGTCAAGACATAGCTCAGTGGGGATATGGAGTACTTAAATTTACTGTATGTGTATGTTCCTTGAATTTAGAAGGTTTATGGGTCCAGGTTTTGTGCAATATAAATATGTGACTACAAGACAAAAGAGAGCATTGCCAGGGACATCAGCAGTGTGTACTAGACTTGAAACTGCATTTATAATACGGGACAACAGAATTTCTGGGGTGAACTTTGTGAACAGGATTTTCTTGTGACAACAGCTCATTGTTTACAGTGGTTTACACTCCTGATGACATTCAAACCAATTAAAAAAAACACATTGTATTTTCTTCAA